TTGTGGTTTACAACCGCAAATTGCCAAATTATACCCACCGGTGCAATTTCCAGTTAGCCGAGGGACTCCTATGATTTCTCCGTCAATTAGGTAAATATTATGATCATAATCGTAACTTAGATGACGTGTATATGTATAAGAAAAATATTAATATGTAAATAATATATACAGGTTATTTACATATTAATACGTTTCTCTTATATAAGAGAACAATTGTTGGCGCACAGATTAGAAAAACTATATATATCAGTATATATATATGTACACATATACAAGTATATATGTATAATTCAATATAATTATTAAATTATTATATAACTGTACAATAACAAATAATATATTGATCTATTTTGTACATTATCATGACTCAGATGGGATCATTTTGAAAATTGGATTGTACCGAGTCAAGGACAAGAGTTTATTGAATCCAAAGGAAGATATGTCAAAGTTTCGCTCGAGGACGAAGACTATGAATATATGAGCGGTCATGTAATCGATGGAAGAAATTTGTTACCCGCGACAGGTTATTTGGGACTAGTTTGGAAAACATTTGGCATGATGAAAGGATTGATGTACACAACAATACCGATAGTTTTTTGTGATGTAAAATTTATTCGTGCTACCCATTTGTCGAAAAATGATGATGTAGAACTATATATTTCAATACAGACAGGTATTATACAAGAAAAGTGGTTTTAATTATAATCGATATTTTCTTTAAAATTTCACAACAGCAGATTGGTAAGTATGCATTTTAGGTGACACTTCACCAACTTCTATGTGTCTTAAATATGTTGTAGGGGAGAGTTCAGCTGAATGATTCCTTGTAAAAATTAAATTGGAGATGGCACTGGTTTGAGAAGATATAGTAAAGTAAAGGTCTATAATATGTAGAAGATAACATGGACGTAAGAGATATACTACGAATAGTAAAATTTGTGTACGTCGTACTAAAATAACGTAAACAAATGCAGAAAGTTACAGATATTACATAAACGGTCGACGTAATTTTCGAAGTTTGGTAACAGCGTTCAATATGCAACTATAAAAGCTTCTAAGTCTTGTAAATTCGAAAATCAAAAGTTTAACATTGGTTTATATTATTCTACGCGTAGCAAGAGCATGATTACCAGGTCTCCAGATTTCTACTGGAGTCTCCAGTTTTCGCGACCAATCTTCAATTCTTTATCTGACGAAAAGAATCTCCAGTTTTTCATTCACATGGGATATTCATTAATTCCACTATCTAGTGATTGTGATTGTGTTAACACTATATGTAGGTTATTTTCCTTGGAACCCTCTTTATAGAAACAATCGACCGCCTCTAGGTAAATTATGAAATCTCCAGTACACGGATTTTCGGGCTTCAGCCGAGTGCAAAGTTCAAAAACTAGCAACCGTCAACAGGAGTCACCCCTCACCAACTAATTGGTTATGTTAGATTTTTTTTTTCAGTAGTTGAGCCACTCCATAGGATGAGGGAGGAGGCGGAACGTATTGTATTTATACATACACATTAATGCGAAGACGCGAAGCGAGGGTCATCCATCCTTCATACAAGATTTCATACACAGAAAATGACGAAGTTTTGAAAAAGACGTTTACATAAATATATCTCAAAAGTTATGAAAACCACTGATTAATTTATAAAGAAAAGTTGATCAATACCTTCACCTCTATATCCAGTTTAAAGTTATCGAAGAGGTGTCTCCTAATATAAAGGTTTACCAACGTTAATTTATTATATATCCTAAACCAATGCCGTCGCCCACGTAATTCTTCCGGGTAGTCACACAGAATACTCTCCTCTACAATATATCTAGAGGATATTGAAAACGGTGAAGTGTCATCTGAAATGCATATTCACTCAGCAGATCCATTGTACCTGACATTATTGTATAAATATATATTATAGTACAATTATTTACAACAAAAATGAAACAAAATGTCGGAATCCGACGGATTAGAGATTGCTGATTTCGATTAATGTAGCACAATGACAAAAACGCATTGTAGTCAAATATATATAATATTACAGATGGAAAGTTTGAAATAACCGAAGGAGATAGCGTCGTTGTCACGGGTACAGTGTACGAAACATTGAATCCAGAACAGGAAATGATTGCGATAAATCCATTATCAGGGGACAGTGATGAAGATGAAGTCATGACATTAAGAGATATATATAAGGAGTTGAAATTACGAGGATATCAGTATAAAGGCTTATTCCGTGGACTAAAAAGTGCCTCGATTTCGGGAACCCAAGGTCATATCGCATGGAAAAATAATTGGGAAACATTTATGGATGCAATGTTACAGATGCTAATTATCGGATATGATACAAGGGATTTGTGTGTTCCAACGGGTATTCAAAAATTAGTAATCAACCCAGTGCTTCACGCTTCGAAGCTGCGAAGTAACAAAGATAATTCAGAAGTTACAACAAATATGGATAAATGTAATTGATCCTCCTTTACTAAATTCTTCGTTCAGTTAATAATGTTGTTTAAAAGACATGCAAACATGATATAAAGCGTATCATTTTACTTGTCGCATTACAGTATTACAGGTACGAATATGCAAAGAGACTGACACGATAAAAGCTGGCGGAGTACAGATTCGAGGCCTTAAAGCTACTCAGATCTCTCGACGGAAATCAGCACAAGATGCTGTTATCGAGGAAAATACGTTTGTAGCACATTGTGATCGCGCTAAGATTCCTTTGAAGGAAGCAATTCGAATATCAGCTCAACTCGTACTGGAAGATCATCAAATTATTAAAGTGCAAGTCGCTGAACTAGTGGAAGAAGTCGATGATGTTGAATTAGAGTGTCTTTCATCTTCGTTGCTTTTAGAGGCATTTGGTGATATACCACTTATACAAGTGAATATCGCACTATTAACGTCATCAAATCGTTTCAAGCAAGAAGATTTACCACAAAATTTTGCAATCAAAGATCTTAAAAAACCAGCTTTGGATGAAAAAGCTTTAATTGTTGCTGGATTCAACCTATTGACCAAACAACACGAATTGTTAGAGAGACTGTTACCATTTTTGAGAGACAGTGGTTACGTGCTGACGCGTGAGAAATGCGACATAACTGATTGTCAAAAATATATACAGCAATACGAATTAAACCTTATTCTCGAAAAACGCACTGATACAGAACTAATTTTGCTTCTGAAAAAAAAAGTATTCATAAGAGATAGAATAGTTGTTCACATAAGTAACGATAATTTTAATTGGCTGGAGAATCTAAAGACGCTCGTGAGCGACGAGAACAAACTTAATAGAAACAATAGAATTATAATTGTTGGAGAGAAAAATTTTGAGTGCGGTTTATTGGGTTTTCTTAATTGCTTGAAAAAAGAGCCAGGTGGAGAACTCGTTAGGGGTGTGTTCGTTCAAGATGAAGATGCCCCTAAATTCTCTCTTCAAGACCCTTTCTATCTAGAGCAACTACAAAAAGACATGACCATTAATGTCTTGCGATCTAAAAAAAATTGGGGATCGTACAGACACATAAAATTGCCACCAGTGGAAGTGCAACCTGTACGAACAGCTCATGTCTGCCAAACGGTAAATACAAACTTTAACAAAATATATCGGATAGTATAATATTACTATAATATTATGTACTTAGTGTTTAAATACATGATTCTGTTTTTTGGACGATCAATTATTATCACGAAAATTATTTTTTAAATTCTTTCTTATATTTATTAATATCACAATACAAATTTTGTTTCTTCATAGGTTCGTGGTGATTTAAATACATTTTGTTGGATAGAGAATAATATATTAGGCATGTCTCGATGTGAAGACTTGGTGCACGTGATTTACTCATCCCTGAATTTTAAAGACGTAATGCTCGCCACTGGTAAATTAACAATGCAAGAGACTATTTCACAAGGACGTTTATTTCAGTATCTTCCACTAGGAATGGAGTATGTGGGTTTCGATGCTTACGGACAACGTGTAATGGGAATCCGTGATACTGAGTAAGTAATCTAAGAAATTAATATGCTGTTATGTCACAGAGTGGGCAGTAAATAAAGGTTACTTTTTTAGTTGCATAGCAAACGTTGTTGAAAAGGATGAATGTCTTTTTTGGAAAGTACCCGATGAGTGGACATTCGAAGAAGCAGTAACGGTCCCATGCGTTTACACCACAATTTATTTCGCCTTATACTATTACGGAAAAATGAAAAAAGGTGATAAAGTACTTATACATTCTGGTACTGGAGGCATTGGACAAGCAGCTATTCATGTCGCTCTTAAAGAGGGATGTGACGTGTTTACTACCGTCGGCACAAGTGACAAACGAAACTTTATTAAGAAAATATTTCCGATCATTCCGGATGAACATATTGGAAATTCACGAGATACAAGTTTTGAACAAATGATTATGCGACAAACGAAAGGTCGCGGCGTCGATATCGTG